TTTTTTTGGAATTTTAAGTAAGACTTTAACGATGTTAACATTGACTTTGAACCTCTTTCATTTCAATATAATTTCTTTGCACTAAAATTGAGTTTATTTATTGGATCAATATTTGTGATAACATTGCGTCTCATGTCCAACCACACTTTCCAAGTCACCAAAAAGAATCCACTTAAAACTTTGCCTATGGGGACACCTCTCCATATGTATCCTTCTTTTTATTGCAAAACAGTTGTCAGAAAATGCCGTCCTGGCATTTTGGAAGTTTTCACTTGACCTTAAAGTTTCTGAAATATTTCACCTACCAAGACACTAAATTTTGTGTAAGTTGCTTATGTACATTTGAAGTTTGTTTTGAAAAAGATAAATGTCAGTAGTTGTGGGCATGTGGGGTTCTGATTACAATTGAAGACCACTGTTTCAGTATTTCTGGAGATTACAGAACTGCCATAAAATCCCACCTGAAAAAATATTAAAAGGGTTTTCTCCTTCCTAGCTTCAATCTGAATGAAAATACTTGACAGCAACTAAACAGTCAAAATGCTTGATAAACATGAAGCTCCAACGTCGCTGACATGAGATCGTTCTTACAAGTGAACCTTTGACACTTTCTCTTTTTTTTTTTTTTTCTTTTTTTATATATATAATTTCATTTACTACTTTGTTTTCCCTCAGTTTCTAGGCTTGAAGGATTTGTTTCAAACAGGGAACAGTTATATGAAGATCCCATTGAAGAGTAAGGCTCCTATGCAACTCCCTTGTCGTTTTTGCCTGAATGATGAATAAAGTTGGATATTGATTTATGGCTACGCTGGATGTCATAATCCAGGTTGCTTTATGCTGTGTTCGTTGTGTCGAGTGAGAATTCAACTGTTGCTGAGCTGGCAACAACTCTACAAGCTGATCTCTCTCAGCTACAGGCTGCTGCATCCTTTGCTTGTCGACTGGGATGGGCACTGAAGCTTATTGATCCTGCATCTATTTTACAGGAATCAAATGCACCTGCATCTCCTAAAATTATGCTCGGTGATGAGGATGATGGATCTCATGCTACAATGGGCTCTGGAAATTTGTCTGGTGATGCCAGTGGTCTGCAACCTGGAGATACGTCGTTGACAGAAAATTCTAGTCCAGCTGCTGATTATTCTCGTGTAGCGTTTGTTGTCGATGCTAATATAACATCTTATCTTATGATGGGATCTGTTTCACCGGGTTTGTATTCTGTTTCAGCCCATCCCCATCCTATTGTTTACGTTCTACGGAACATTTACATCGCTTGTGAGACATTAGGTGTTCTTTCTCTTGGAGCCTTCCTTCTTAGGAATTAGGATACAAAATTATATATATAATATATACATATATAACAACAGCAGAACATTTAATTTTCTTTGCCTTGTATTTGAATCAATAAGCAGCTTAGCATTGTGTCTTGGTTCTAGGATTGCACCTTAGTAACCATGCATGTATTAGTCGCTGTCACATCATTGATTTTCTTTGTTCGATCTCATTTTATTTGATAGTTTTATTGCATTCTTCTTTTTCCCTCTGCATTTGAGTGTACTTGTTGGTTGCACACTTGTGCTTGCATCTCATGTGTAGAAGTTTTGTTCGTATTGTGCTAGTATCCTTGAATTCGTGTGCTGCATCTACATGATTATGGCCTTAGTTTATAGCTGAGTTAACATTATTGTTCTCAAATTTCAATTTCAGGCCTAAAATCTCATGCTGTTACTCTGTATGAAGCTGGAAAACTTGGTCATGCAAGCATTGCGGATCTTTGCAGAGACCTTATTACACTAGAAGGGGCCAAATTTGAAGGAGAATTACAGGAATTTGCAAATCATGCTTTCAGTTTGAGGTGTATCCTCGAATGTCTGACTTCGGGTGGTATAGTTGCTGATATACGAGAAAAAATTGGTTCAATATCATTGAGCAAAGAAGACGAGACTGTTGACAAATCTAGAGATTCTAGAATGGATGAATGTAAGATGAATGTGGATGATTCTGAGAAACTAATATCTCCTGAGAGTGATTGTTCTGCTGAGCCTTCGACTGAGGATACTACCTGCTCCAATGCTTTATCCGAAGATAAAGAAATTATGTCCGAGGTTTCTACATTAAATTTTACTTCACAAGATGACGAATCATCTGATTCTGTTGGAAGTATGGCTGCCAGGAAAGAGATAAGGAAACCACGGAAATATCATGTGGACATTCTTCGTTGTGAAAGCTTAGCTTCTCTGGCTCCAGCTACTTTGGATCGTTTGTTTCACCGTGACTATGACATTATCATGTCCATGATTCCACTTCCTTATTCTTCTGTTTTGCCTGGAGCCAGAGGTCCCATTCATTTTGGTCCCCTGTCTCATGCTTCCATGACTCCCTGGATGAAGCTGGTGCTGTATTCTGCTCTATCCAGTGGACCTCTTTCTGTTGTTCTGATGAAAGGTCAATGTTTAAGATTGCTTCCCGCACCATTAGCTGGTTGCGAGAAAGCCCTTGTATGGTCGTGGGATGGAGCTACAGTGGGGGGTTTGGGAGGAAAATTTGAAGGGAATTTGGTGAAAGGAAACATACTCCTACACTGTTTGAATTCTCTTCTCAAGTACTCTGCTGTGCTGGTTCAACCTCTAAGTAGATACGATCTTGACAAAGGAGGAAAAGTTGTAACTCTAGATGTTCCGTTACCCTTGAAGAATAGTGATGGTTCAATGGCTAATATTGGTGAGGAACTCGGACTATGCAAAGAGGAGTGTTCAAAGTTAAATTCACTGTTACATGACATTTCAAACAAAATAAATCTGTGGACAATCGGTTATATTCGGCTTTTAAGGCTGTTTAAAGAGAGGGATCTTGAAAACTTGTCTGCTTCTGATGAGAAGTATGAATGGGTTATTCTCAGTACAGAATTTGGAATTCCCCTTTTTAGTCCCAAATTATGCAACAGTATATGTAAAAGAGTGGTCTGTTCACAGCTACTTCAGACGGACTTACACAATGAGCATAATGAAGCAATGCAAAACTTGAGAAGCAGGTTACGTGATGTTTGTGCCGAATACCAAGCAACTGGTCCCACTGCAAAGCTTCTTTACCAAAGAGAGCAAATTAAGGAAAAAAGCCCATCTCGACTGCTAATGACTTATGCAAGCGGAAAATGGAATCCGCTTGTGGATCCTTCTTCTCCTATATCAGGAGCCTTAAGTGGGAACCAACGATTAAAGCTTGCCAACCGGCAGCGTTCTCGCACAGAAGTCCTGAGCTTTGATGGTAGTATCCTAAGGTGTGTGGGTCTTGGCTACATTATCACGAATTTTTGTTGCTTTCTTTTAATTCATAAAAGTGCATTGCTATTAACTTATAAGTCCTGAGTTAGTCTTCCACGTGCAGGTTTGACAAATTGAAATTTGTATTTAATTTGTTTCTAATAATGCGTGATATTTCCATCCTTCTTGAAAAAGTTTTGAGCAAAATATTCAGTGCTTCTAGAGAGACGGATAACGATTACAATTTTAAAAACTGTCATGGCAACCATGATAAGTTGAACATTTTTGTGAACTCATAGTATGACACAATATCAGATGTGAGTGAGTATTTTTTTTGTTTATTGTATGAACTGGATATTAGTCTAGATGTGTTCCATTCACAGATGCTGTACCATAAAATGAACTCTATAATAACCCAGAAAAGACAGTACAAGGAAATTAACTAGAGTTCACCATATTCCAAGATGAGGAGTGGCTATGTGGATGAGTTCGATTTCCATCAACCTGTTATTCACATTGGCGTAGTGGAAGCAGTAGCACTACTTTAAAGAGATTGTTTATGAAATTTGCTTCAATGATCTAAATCTTTTGATGCCCTCTGTTTCATCTATATGTCCTGATGTTTTCAACTATCTTGTGCAGGTTCGGAAGAATAGTTTTACAATTTTCATTATCAATATTCTTTATCATGTTTTTTTTTTATTTATTTTTATTTTTCTTTTATCTGGAGTAATTTGTGCATCATATTCTGTGACTAGATTCAAAATATAATCACATAGTCAACACTTAACACCTTTCCTGTTTAACTCTTCGTACAATCACCATTTGTTTTTCTTTTATTCTTTATTGAAGCAGCATTGTGAATAATGTATTTCTATATACAAATTGGATAAATTTGTTTCTTATGTCCACCTTTTGGTTGAGCTAGACTGTTGAGTCTAAATATAGTTCCTGACAGACAACCTCTATCCCTGTGTGTGTGTGTCATTCGGCAATCTATTTTGGCTTGTATGGAGATTCTTAACATGCTATTGAGTCGGCACAGCTTTATTTGCAGATCATATTCACTGTCTCCAATTTATGAGTCTGCTTCCAGACCAGTTGAAGATACTATGGCAAAAGTTGAAGCTGAGGATGCTGATAGCAAAGAAGTAATTCTTCCTGGAGTGAATCTTCTTTTTGATGGATCTGAGTTGCGGCCTTTTGAGATTGGTGCTTGCCTCCAGGCTCGTCAACCTGTGTCCTTAATAGCAGATGCATCAGCAGTATCTGCTTCGTTGACAATAAAACAAAAAATTTAAATCGATTTTCATATCTTCATTTACTTGAATACCCTGTTTTATGAAACCAAATGCACAGTTGCGGAAGCTGCTTCATAGATACCGACTCATCTGTTTTTACAACTACAAGAGGGTTGTTTAGGTATGATGAAATTGTTTTTATATACATTTGAGATTCTACTATAAAGAACAAATCTCTGAAAATCTGTTGCACATGCAACATTTTGAGCCGGCATTTCAGTTGGTGTAAGTTGTACCTAGGTATTCATAAATGGGGAAATCACGAAAGTAAGATAGGAATCCTCAATCTTTATGTGGTATTCTATAAGGTACGATTAAAAAACAATTGTCCTTTCAAAGAGTGATGCAGTACCGCTAGACATACCGATGACGAAATCGGGTTTCATTGATTGCGGGCCTGAGTAATAACTCTGTTCATAAAGGAAAAGGGGTTTCAAATTATGAGTTTGAAAATTGATGCTCTATATGATTAGTTTGTTAAAGTAAAAATACTAAATCAATGTTCCAAGCTAATGTAAGTTTATGGGCTGCAAGCTAAGAATCGGATATATATTCCATATCATTGCCATATACCGTGTCTTTTATTTTAGCTCTCCGCAGATGTCAGAGTAGTATTTTTAAACTCAAAATTTAGTTTGTTTTTTATTTAATTTCTTCTCTATTTTGCTTGTACATCTCAGGTTTTGTAGTTGCAGAGGCGGTTTCTGGAGATTTCAGCCTGGCTTCTCATAGGTTGTTGCAAGGTCGAGAAGATTTATATCATCTGTTATGTTATTACGAATGCGTGTACATTCCTACATCAGTTTATTTACTGCAGTAGTTGGAAAGGGAAAAAAAAAAAACTTGTGTTGTTTTTGCACGCCGTATTCAAAATAATAGTCGCCACTTCTTTATGCTAAATCAGTTCTGGAGTCTGCAAAAGATTATATAAGGACAACATATGGAGATTATATTGTTTATTATTTAAGGACAACATATGGAGATTAAGGGACCCTTAATACAGCAGCTAATGTTGAGATGGTGCCCTGTTGACATATGTATCTGTGGGTGTTTTTTTTTGTTCTCCCAAATACAGCAGCCAATTTCTCGTCAACTTCAGGCACCAATCCAACCCCATCTCTCGTCAGGTCTGAGCGCCAATTCATCAAGTAGCACAATCTAACAGCTTTTGCCGATTTCTCTGCAATATGAACAAGAAAGTAAACTGATAAAGAGACCGCTCAACCGGTCCCATCATCAAAAATCGAGATTTTGCAGGAATAGGCGTGTCACTCCTACGTAACCTTAGTTGGCATGAAGCTATCATTACATTTCTATTTTTTTCGTGTATAAATACGACCCATCAGGTCTTAAAATAGGACAAGAAAATTGCAAGTTTCATGAATACAATACTACAATTTGTTTCTTTTACATTGATTTCCTCATTAAGTAGTTCGGCCGTATTTTCTTCGTAATATCTTTCTTTTATTTATTTCATTACAATTCCTACACACAACCTAAAAACTAAC